CTCCCGAGGTCCGCTTGCCCAGCGTCTTTTTGAACTGCCCAGCCCCTGAAGTTCCCCGCGCAAGCCGAATTGTCAGCTCTCATTGGAGGCAGGCGATCTGCAAAAGGCCTTGCGGAAACGTCGTCATGCATGAAACAATGTTGTGTTTCTGTCCTCATTTTCCCCGTTTAGAAATAGTTGAACCGGATGCCATCGCTACAGCCATTCGTCTCACTGGATTCATCATGGCTTTCCAATCAGATGCCATGTCAAGTGCTTGCAACACCTCGGCTTCTTGATGCGGGTAGTAGCCCATTGCACTAGCGTTAGCTCTGGTCACCGCTTCTCGGCCCCATCTTGTGTCTTCTACATCGGCTCCGATCGTTCGACTGTGCCCTACGAAACCCGGCATGTGTCGGTACCAAGTGACGCGTGGTACGTCTGACAAACATGGGTTCGACGAGGTCATGTTTAGACATGTTTTGTAATCCCTTGTCTCTCGCTGGACATGCAGCCATCTTTTTTCCGGAAGACGTACCATTCGACAGGGCATTCTTGTCACCGGGCGTGTAATACACTACATGGATGGTTTAGAAATGCCGAAGCTGCAGGAAACCGGACCGAGTCGAACCCAAGGTTGCCCAGGCTTCATTCAGAGAACCCAGTCCTGGTTTTTCCAAGTAATGGCTTATTCACCCCGAGCTCCCGGCCGGCTTTTCTTGCCCTAGTCTGCCTTGGCCTTACAACCTTGTCAACTGTCACCCAGGATCTGACGCACACGCACACAAGAATCTGCTACAACCCGCTCACCTGGCAGCCCTATCGGACCATTGTCTTGTTTTGTCCCCAAACTCCGAAATAGTTTAAACTGTGTCAGCACTGAGATCCCGAATCTTAGGTTACCCAAGGCTTCGGGATTAGAAAACGGATGACCAAGACATTGTACAGCCATCTTTAGTCCACACTTTATCATAGTCTCAGACCTAGGAAAACAGCTCCGACATATCTGTCATTTCTGACGTGTTTCAGCAGTTTTCTCCTTGATCGCTGCGAGGCTACATACCTTCAATGCCTCTGCCGAGAACGGGCCGACAATGCAGTAGGAGGTTGTCTGGTCCAATGACGCTTGTGCTCCCGGACAAATTCACTGAGAGGAGTTCCGCCCAGGACCAACAACGATCTAGATACGCCGAGCCTGGTGTAGCCTGGCGGCGCTGTCTCGACACCATGCCAAGCCAAGTGAGCACCAACCCTCGAGCCTTTCCTCTCTCTGCACACCGTAAACAGAGGCTTTTGCTCAGTTGAGCATCATGTCATATGTAGCAACAACTCAAATGGGGGAGTTGGGTAGGTATGCAGATAGGTAAGGTGAGGTTGGTGGGGTGATTTTCGAGCCATAAAACTGGCAAACGCCGCATGAGGGCATTTGGAGGTGGGTGAGAAAACAAGCGGCCTCCCGTCCCCACACCCTCCGCACTGGCAATTGCGCACAGTGTTCAATCTACAAAATAAGGTTGGCCGCATTTTAGAGTTGGCTGCCGGCGCTAGGATTAATGGGGTCTAGGCTAGTTGCCTTATCTAACATCTTTATTCCTCAGTATCATGACTAGGTACCTAACAACGATCTAGGCAACTATAACGTTGGAACGGGGACAGCTCAGGTACCATGCATGACAGTGGGTACCGTCGTCCCACAACTGATCCAGAGAATTTCTGCGTGACCCTGAGAAATCAATGTCTCAGCTTATGATGCTTCTCTTCGGTTCACTCCTCATTCATGCAACTCATCCCACTTTCTCCTCTCAGTCCACCCTCGCTCTACGCCTCGTCCATTCAGGTTCCGGCTCTTAATTGCTTACATGATCAACTTCTCACTCGGCCGCTTTAAACTCCCCAGCAAAATCTCATATCAACCCCCACTGTTCACATAACCTCTAACCTCCAACCCCCACCTCGACCCCCAAGTTCCCAACCTCTCCCACCTTAAACCCCCACATCAAGTCCCACAAACTAACCACCCCCCTACAGCAACCCTCCACCGAACCTCTCATTTTGAAGTAGCCAAAATTGGCCCCAAGTCGATGCTTTAAAGACTCTGCACAGCAAAGAATACCGGGTGCTGCCTTTGAAGGAACCTTACAGACATCTTCCGTCCCATACTTGTAGCTGGGCGCAAGACAAAGGTAAAAACAGCTTTCTCGTTGATTGTTTGTGCTGCGAGCACATCATTCTTGGGTATAGCATTGGCAGATATCCCCACTTAGGTAAGATTCACATCTAACAAAACTTGAGTCTTATTGACAACCCAGTTTTTATTGTGGGTTTGGTGAATACGCAAGGCGGCGGCGGAATCAGTGTCAATACCGAGAAAAATATGGTCGATTCCTTGAAGGAAATCGCCATGTTCTTTCTTCGACGGGTATCCCCTCTTTCTCATCTGTTCAGCCACCTTCCTTTAACTTTATCGTCATCTTGTTCTTTTCCAATAGTCTGAATAAATCCCGTGTGTTACCCAAGAATAACACTCAATTTCTCCCCACAATTCCTCTCCCAAACCTCCCTCGCCACCCTCCCAGCAGCCTTCCGATACGCGATACCACCCCTCCGCTCAATCCACAAAACATTATAAAACCGGTAATGCTCCCCCTTACGCCCCCACGGCCGTGCTGCTCGCGAGTGAGCTGTCTCTACCGCCGCCGCACGCCTAGGCCTAAACGTCAACGGCGCCGTCTCGGAACCTGTACCATCCTCATCATCCGAAGGCGGGTCTCGCACAAAACTGTGCTCCATGCGTGGGTAATCGGCCGACTTCAACAGGTCGACGCGTTCTTCATACGACGAAAATGTCTCATCCCACCCCATGGATCCCAACGATATGGCCATCAGCTCTATCTCCTGGCCGGGTCTGATCTCGGTGTCGTCGTCCATGATTCGTAACAGCCCGGCAGGCTGGCCGTCGGCATCAGTAAGGGAGACGACTCGACATAATTCTTCTCCTTCCGGTCCGCCGTGGAACTTGTCGAGGGACGTGAATGGCACGTGGAGCGAAGATATACGGGACTCCTCGCGCTTCACTTGGGCTGACGACTTTCGGCTGAGAATTGACTGGATCTTGAAACATCCCGTCGTTGCTTCACAGTGGAGGTACGGCCAGTTTTGGGGGTGGGCCGTGGGCTTCCTTCCTGGGTTCACCATCGGGATGGGATGACAGAACAGCTTGCTAGGATCTGAAATGTGGGTGAACGTGTAGAATAGATTAGGGTCGAGCTTGGGCGAGCGCGTGTCACAGTATGTCCATGTGCTATTCCTGGGAGGAGGGTACCTGATGTCGTGGCGTGACCAACCCGGAGGGGTATCCCAGTCGCCCCAGTCCAGGAAGCGTCTGCAATAGTTTTCCAGAATCCTTGACTCGGGCAGTTTCCTTTCGAGGCGCAGGTCCTCCGACAAAACTGACCACGTCACAATTGGTTTAGTCCGCATTTGTGGACGTAGCCACTCCAGAGAGCGCACATGCAAGCTCTCCGGATCGACAACAGCGTGCCAGCCGCACCATGACCAAGATGGGAGGTTGGTTTTGGGCATGTCCGCATCCTCGGATCTCCCTTGCGTCCAGACTCTTCGTTTGCCCTTGCTGAATGGCTGCCACAGTAGCGCGGCATCCAGAAACAGAACAGGTAGACCACCGACGAACCCACCAGGAAAGGTGTGTGAGAGTTCGTTGATGATTCCCATAAAGGCTGACAGGACATCCTGCGCATATGTCAGGTCACGGCCGCTGTAGAGGCAGACAAGCTCTCTGTAAAGTCTAAAGTCGGCGAAGGCGGTCGATGGCACCGTAACCGCCATCTCATGGTTATCAATCTGTTTCTGAGAGTATGTGTCATATCCCTCGCCTGCTTCCTTCCGAGGGCCAGGGTTCTCATGGCTCCATAAAGAGTTCCGACAGTCCCAAAATACATCCCCGTTCACGAAGATGATGGAGCGTCGCGAAAGAACCTGTTCCTGGAATGTCCACCCTCGCGTAGCCCATTTGGACTTTAGGAGCTTATCGTACAGATACCGGTGGAAGAAAGAAACCCCCATGGGTGCACGATGCCGCCGGTCGAGATTGACATACAAGCCTGGCGAAGCAGCAGCGATGATGGTGAAGTAAGCTCCGGAGTAGATGTTGTCCATGTTCTCGATCTCGCTTCGTTTCATCCTCCCATCTTGCACGATACACAGACGATCAACCCACAGGTATCTTTCCCCTAGCTGCTTGACAAGATCGATGGCGTCGCTGATAACTTCGGGGAGGAAGCCCTGCTTCATGCCATCAAGGAAGCCGCTCTTTTGGAACTGACGTAGGTTGCCGGTCCACAGCTCGAGGGTGAGCTTCTCACTCTCAATCGTCGACCAGACGTAGCTGAGAGCCACGTAGCGGGAGGCTGTGCTGCCAGGCACGATACAACCATTCCGTAGGTCAAGAACCCATGACGGGATTTCGTGAGGTTGGCGATACTGATTCGGCGTCGGTGGGCAATCGGTGTGCAGGCGGTCGCAATTGTGGATCCAGTGACGGATGTTGCGAAAGTCTGACGATGGTAAAGACATGGCTGTCTAGGGTAGTGCAATGGTGGAGACTTCCATCATGGAAGATCCTAGCTTTTAAAGTAAAATGGGCAGGAAAGAGGTACCCGAAGAAACACTTTGGTAGATGCCTAACCCCGCAGCTTATTCTTGAGACATTTATGGTCAGGGTCAGTTTCGTATCCACCCAAGGGCCTAAAATCTTACGTATATCTTGCTGCTATTATCATCTGCCTTCTCACCTGAAATCTTATCTACAGTCTTATTTGAAAAGCCCTGACTTTGATAATCCAAGTCAGCAAAGTTAATTACCCCATTACAAAGAAAATAAGCCCCACATATACCCGAGTCATGTTTCACCCACGACAACCCTGCACTTATCCCCTCACCCATACCATTCCTGCATTATTCCATCCCTGCACATTCTATCCCATCTTCCCATGCACAAATTATCAGCTCATAGTCCTAGTAATAACCGGCACACCGTCCCTTCCTGCTGCCTCTCCTTCCTCGTCACTACCTCCCAACTCAGTGATATCATCACAAACCCCGAAAACAGTCTTGTGCTCAAATTCCAAAAACCCACTCAGCACCACAACCTCATCCCTGTACACCATCGCAACCGACGACCCTTTGCTCACAACCTTTGCCATTGGGCCCTGCCCATCTGCCGTTTGCCAGACAGACGGGATGAAGAAGTGTCTTGTGTATGATTTGGAAGATGGCAAGTTCTTGAGAGAGATCGAGCAGACCCAGCCGCGACCTGAGATGAAGTACAGAGTGGATTTATGCAAGCCGAGTATTGATTTGATCGGGGAGAGGAGTTTGCGGGTGACGAGCGACACCTCGACACTGGGGGCTGGGCTGACGGGAGATATCTTGGAGAGGTCAAGGGTCAGAAAGCCTGTCTCTGGGACCGAGGAGAGTTTCGAAGAGGTGGTTGGCATGTCAATTGTTTGGTAGATTGTGGAAAGACCTGGTCGTGAGAGCCAATCGTCGGAGAGGATAAAGTCATGGCTGTGAGATAGTTCGGGGGGGGGGTGGATAATTATGCCAATTGGCGGACTCTGCCGTTCAAGCGTCTTCCAGAGGAATACGTGGAGCATGTCGTGGTCAAACAGCAGCAGTCGGTCAGAGTCGGTGGGATGGGCGAGCCATCGGGCAGGGCCCATGGAGTTTGTTGTTTGAATAACGGTGGGCTCTTGTTTTGGCTCGCCTTCAACGGTGGAAATGGTGTGCATCTCCTCTCCTGACTGGGTCGATACCAGGAATGACGTCCCATCGGGACTGATGAGAGCCTGCAAGACATGATCCGACGCTCGAAAGTCAAGGATATGCTCGAACTGCGAGCTTTGCTGCCCAAGTTCTTGTTTGAGCTTCTCCACTGGACTTGTTGACTTTGAAGAAGATGATAACCTCGGAAGAGTAATCCTTGTTGCAATGCATCTTCGCGAAGCATCAACACTGAACAAAACTTTCGACTGCGCATGCCACTCGAGATGCCGGATTTCAACCATGCGTGCGTGGAATTGAAACTCCGCGCATACCTTTCCAGTGGTAATATCGTGCAGTGTAATGGCGCCCTCTTCACGGCCACAAAAGACAAAATTTGAGTCTCCAGCCTGAGCCATCACAGTTATCTCGTTGCTCCCCTCAAACGTTCGCGTGCAGACTAAGTTGGAAGAGGTCGAGGTGAAGTAGTCGTCGGTGACATCACTCGAGCCGTCATCCGTTAGGTTCTTCTTGATGAGAACTGACGGCTCCCAAACGTTGCAGGTATTCCCCCTCAAGTCAAAGAACCTAAGGCTGTTGGAAGCGAAGACAATACCCATGATTCTTTCGTCCATCGATTCGATTCGACACAACTGCCTCAACCCGTCGAATGCGAAGAGAGTGATAACACACTCGCTATCTCCAGCAGCCAAGGTTTGCCCGTCGGGAGAAGCCGCCAGTGTGTGGGCATTGAGATGGTGCGTGCTTTTTTGCTGAAGCGTCCATGGATCAAAGGTGACTAGATCTCCGTCCTGGTATGCAACTGCCATCAAGCTCTGCTCAACGTTCGGATTGAATGCAACATCCAACACCTGGGACGGTAGGCCTTGACCATCTTCATACCCCTCCTTCTCAAATGCTTCCATCCCGTCTTCGTTATCGTAATAAGACACTTGAAGGTGTGAGCTGCGGTAGGCGACAGCAGCAATTCCCAGCGATGGGCATATCTTGACCAACATGGGATTAGTCTTCTTCTGGTTGTTAGGTTTGTACCTTTCTCCACCTTCGCCATCAGACTCCGAATCCGAGGAGGAAGAGCTAGAGCCGTCTTCGTCGGTTAGTGCCAGGCAGTCTAGACGAGCGCCGCCCTTGGACCTGTATACATAGACCTCTCCACTTCTCAGTGGCACATAAATCTTGGAGTCGTCTGGGCTGAACTCAATACTGAGTGGTTGCTCGGGCACGTTGACACTCCAGAGCAGAGTCTGTCTCGGACCCCAAACCTTCACCGTCTTGAGGCCAGCAGTAACCAGGATACCCGTCAAGTGGCCGTTTGCCAGTTTGCGGACAGGCTCACCATGTCTGAAAGTGTTGAGAAGCTCGAAAGTACTTTGACGATACACCTTGACCACTCCGTCTCCAAGGCCGACGGCAAAGAATTGATCACCGCAAGCAATGGACATGACTCTAGTGGCAAATGAAAGAGAGCTCAGCCGCTCGTCCCAATCGGTATTGAAATTGCATATGACCTTCTGCCTGAACTGCGTTCTAGCAAATTTCCAGTGAATGATGCTGGAAGTTGGACAAAGCAATGGGACGAGAGAATAGATGCATGAAGGAGTGTTGACGAGATTCGGGCCGTAGATGGCTGACAGCCTCAGTAGATCTTCGACAAAGCGTGAAACAAGTTGGTAATCAGAGTCGATGGGCGAGCAAGTGGCTACCTGCTTCTTGAGGTACGCCTTCAGGTTCTGTATCGTTCGCATGATGAGTGCCAAACGGCCCGTTTTCGCAATGCGCTCAATCCACGTCAAGATGTTGGACGAGAAAAAGGATCCGAGAAGTGGCAGCAACTCCAGTGTCTCCTCCGAAGGCGAGCAATGTGCGAGGTGGTAACTGAAGTTGGCACATGCATACTCGTCGAAGGCCGTGTCGTTGGCGCCAGCGCTGTTGTTTTTGAACGAAGGCACACGGCGAGGCCGAGGGGGGTTGAAATTGCGCCCGTTGAGGTGGGTAAGGCAAAGTTCTGCTATACGAGCGTGAGACCCGGCACGAGGTATGTAGTAGTCCGATTGCTCGCCAGTAAGAAACTCCTTGACTGTCTGATGCATGACTTGGACGTAGTTGTTGTCGACAGTAATCATGTTGCCACATATCTGGGCAAATCTGTCCGACGTCCTAAGCGTCTGGTTAATATCCAGCCTGACTGCTTCTCTCAGTTCATCGGTTGTCAGGGGCTTGCGAGCACAAACCACCCAGGTGAGAATGCACTGTGCCAGCTCCGCATTTGGAGACTCAATAATGTTCTTCAGAATGTCGTTGTACATTCCACTCATCTCCTTTGGGACTTGGTCCAGGGTATTTCTCATCGCTTCGATGCTGTGAGCGTCATCTAGACGCGTCATAATAAGGGAAGCCCATAGAAATATCCCATTTGACTTTTCGATGATCTCCGCTACCAGGTCGCTCTCATCTTGGTCTTGTTCATGGAAGTCTTCGATGATGGTGGGCGAAAGCCTCGCCCTTACGAAGGCCTCGATATCTCTCAATGACGCTGCTTGGCCAGTGTGTATCTCGCTTCTCAGCACTCGCTCCTGATTCAGCAACCTTTCCACATGACCGTTGGGCCGGCTGGTAATGAGGATTCTCAGTGGGACTGTCGGCTCGATTCTCGAGAGCATCGCGACCAAGGTCGCCAGCAGTCGTGATTGACACTCGTCCAAAGCATCAATCACCCAGTACTGTGGTTGAGAAAATGCCATTTTGAAGATCCGCCCAAGGAAAATGTTGTTCCACACCATAACATGATCGCTGTGACAATCAACCACTTCTCCCTCCTCTATCATGGACAGGAATGTGTGTCGGACCTGGAAGTTGGACTCAGCCATCTGAAGAGCCAGTGATAGGAGGAGCTGGGTCAGACTGGGCTTTTCGTTGTTCTTGAAGAAGAAGTAGGCACAGTCGAGGTTGAAGGATTCGAGGTATTTGATAACATGTGTAGAAGCCACAGACTTTCCAGATCCCGGTGGGCCATTGAGCCACAAGAATCGAGGAGTGACTTTGGTGGGACCGGCTGTGATGGCTTTGACGGTAGGATTGGCGTCCATCAGGTCGCACTCCAGCCATTCAAGGAATGATGGGTGGGAGGTTAGCCATTCGCAGGATCCTTGGTGCAGTCTGTCGTAGACCCGCATAAAGTCGCCATCTGGACGTTCTGCAATATCAAATGTGCTGGCTATTTGTTTGATCTGAGCCCTGTGGTTGTCAAACTTGTCGGAGATATCTGCTTTTGTCAGCTGCTATCATAATTCAACTACAAGAGTATGTACTTACACTCCTTTTCAATCTCTTCGATTGTTGTGTTGAAGCAACGAAGGAGGATGTTGTAATTCGGGTCCTCGGTCGAGTCAAACTTGACCAGACGACGATGGTCGGCTTGTAGATACTGAGTGTGCTCCCCGGGTAGCCCTAACAGGTGTTAGCTCCCATGTCATTTGTTTGGCAGCAGAGCAACATACCCATCACAGCAGACTCTTTTTCTACCACCACAACATTGGTTGGCCCTGCAGCGGTAGGAATACCTTCGAAGAATGACCACAGTCCAACATCGCTACACACATGTCTAAATTCGTCATTGATAGCCTGGGTTGTCAGCATCGGCATGCCGAGAATACTAGCGGACTTCAAGCTCACCTGTAATGTCCCTGATCCTGGGATGAGCTCTTTGACAAAGGCCTTGGATCCAGAGCCGAGCGACATTGCAATAAATGTTGAGACAAAGGAACTGGAATCAGCGCCTCTGTGGGGAGTTCCCAAGAAGTAAAGACTGTGAATCCTGCCGGCAATGTCGGCGTAAATCGGGTCTCTTCTAGCTAGGAGATATGCCTTCTTAACAACAAGACCACCCATACTATGAGCAACCAGGACGATAGGCGTCTGTGTCTATGTCAGCTCCAGGTTTCGATGTCAAAAGTCTAGGTAGAAGCGACTTACATTTCCATTCTTCTTAAGATGTGGCGCGTTGTACAAATCTGCCAATAAAGCTTGTCCGAAATCGTGGATGGTCAGGGAGCTTTGCTGTGATTTTGACCAGTCCGAGTCATATCCGAAACTGTGGATGCGAACGTGCTTGAAGCCCGCCTCTGATGGCAACCACTCTTTGGGCCAGAATGTTGTCGGGTCTGATGAGGCGCTCCATGATCTCTTTGAGCCACCGTTCAGTCCGTGGACCTGTAGTATATATTAGTAAGGGCTGTAGATAAGAGTTAGGAGCTGCTCACAAATACGAAATCAACCCGCGGCTCCGATGGGTCATGCAGTAATGTCAGCCCCAGCGCCCCTTTCGAATTCTCTGGAGACGGTGTGTTGGACCGCGCTCCTGGAGATGATGCTCTTCTCAAGCTTTGCAATCTGCCCCGAAATCTACTTGGCGACGGTAATCGGTCCTTGTCTCCCGGTCCGGGGAGATTGGGCACACCCAGGCGATCTCTGTCTTCGGTACTCCATGTTGAGGATGCTTGCCAGGTTTGAGCCTGGTAAATGTCAGTCAACGCTGTGTACCCATGAGAACACCAGTCACTTACATGAGACGCGAACATTGTTGTAGTTTTGTCTTTCCTGTTGTCTGTTGAGCTGCAGAAGGGTAACCTGTGATATTAATGAGCAAGGTAGTATTGAGTGGTGTATGTCATGAGTGATCAGCCGCTTTCACTGAGATCACCACAGTATCACGAATATCATGTGCAAGACCAGAATTGGCATTGAAACAAAGTTTTGATAGAGGAGAAAAAAGGACGACAGGTGGGAACCATCACGTCAAGAGTCTAGACCCAGCCTCCACAACACCCATCGGGACAGCCAAAGCCCCGAGGCAACCGATCCATTGTCAGCAGCTTCATTGGTATAGACGGCCGAGAGAAGGCGAGCTTGGTGTTTCCCGCGTTCGAGGCCACTCGGTGAGCACAGTCTGAGGTGGTCCCTTTCTGGTCAATTGGGCTAGCGAGTCCATCTATCAGCGAGTAAAAGCAAGAATGAGGGGGACAAGGCAAGGGGCATTGCTGGATATGTGCTTCACGATGGACTGTTTGAAACGGTCTTTGGGTCTCAGACTGGGTTTGGCGTGCAGTTGTGCCCATCGGGTATTGAAGGGCCTGCGCCGCTTGCTGGTGGCAGTGATCCTTTGGGGTTTGGCCTGTAAACTTGGCCTGCAGGTAGAACAGTGTGGGGGACCTCCAGGAGGATAACCCGGAAGACGCATCGACAAGAGATTTCCAGATCATGGCTGATTTTTTATTTTTATTTTCGAGGAAACATCGCGCACAAAATGGCAGACAAGAAGCGGAGTTAGCCATCAATCTACTCGAAAGAAAAGGAAGGCGCAAACTCGCCCCAAAAGATTGACCATTGGCAGGTGCCCCGCAGTCCCGTCACCATTGCTTTCTTGTCTACCAAATTCTCGAAATAACTTCTTTACAAATACCGAATTCTTCGCCAACTCTTGCGCCTATCTTTGTTTTTCTCGCACAGTATTCAATGTTGGTGATCTGCTTAGCCAACATGTGAAACGCCGGCAGGTGACCATTGGACCAAGTTGGGGGGCCGAAACAACGACCAGCAATTGGCCGTCATCCAAACATACCTGCACCACATCCCCCGACGGCCCAACCCGCAAACCCTTGCTAACCTCATCCGAGCACATCTTGAGCAATTATTGTGGGCCATGATAGCATCCACGGCTCCCAAATGGTCGCCTTGTTCGGTCAAGCATCAACATGGGTTGGTGCTCTTCCCCCTCACCGGGAATGAGGCGTGTGTCCAGTTTCCGAGCGAGCTATGACTAAAAGACAGATGACCCCTCACAGTCTAGACCACGGTTTGTCTGCTTTCATTCTGTCTCTTGTTTACTGTTGATATCCCTTGGTTGTAGATCGGATCATCACAAGTTGAATTTTGAACGCAATGGCTACTGATGTGAGAAACGTGGAGGAGAAGCTGGATGAGAACCTTCTTGCCGGTATGTTGCCCCTTATTCAAATTACACCACTCACTATGAGTACTAACATCACCAGCCCTCCCTGAGGGTGGCAAGGTGGTCTCTGTGACCCCGTCTGGGATGAGTGACTATTGCAACACCTTTCGGATCGAGGTCTCCATGCCGGATGGAAGCAGTCAGGTGTTTTTTGAGAAGGTTGCTAACCCAGAAACAAGTACTGTGTATCAATGACTGACAATCGTACAGGAAGCTTCTGGCAAAGAGGGCCTAGAACTGATGGAATCCGCCTGGACCTCCGAAAACACCACCTACGAGTTTATCCCAGAGCACGTGCCCCGCCCGGTCAAGAAGGGCTCCTACAAATTTCGTCCAGACAGGCACTTCTTCCTGGCTGAATTCATCGAGATGATCGAAGACGATATTCCCCGTCCCGAGTCCTACATGACAGCCATTGCGGCTTTGCACTCCCGCAGCATGGGCAAGTCCCCCAACGGCAAGTTTGGGTTTCCTGTCAACACCAGATTTGGCAACCTGGAGCAGGACAACAGCTGGACGGGCACTTGGGAGGAGTACTGGACACGACAAATGAAAGACTTTCTCCAGCGTGAAGATGCCGCCCATGATGGGGAGCACCATGCTGAGCTAGAGAGACTACGGCCTTTGTTCTTCGAAAAGGTTCTTCCTCGGTTTCTGCGACCCTTGGAGAGCGATGGACGTTCAGTAACGCCTTGTCTTATTCACGCTGACCTCTGGCCTGGCAACGTCAAGTATCAGACTGATGGCGAGACGGTCTGTGTCTACGATGCCTGTGCCATGTGGGGGCATAACGAAGTTGATTTGGGTGTTTTTCGCAACCCACGGTACCCACTCGGCAAACCGTATCTGAAGGAGTACTGGAAGCACGTACCTATTTCGGAACCCGAGGAGGATGTTGACAGCAGGAATACCCTCTACATGCTGAGGAACCAGATTTTGCTGTCAACCTTGTATCCGCACGATCACAAGCTCCGCGAGATGTGAGTAAAGAAATCCATCGCAGTCTATCAATGATGTGCTAACGATTTCTCAGCGTTGTGAGCAATATGAAGCTGCTGGTAGACAAAGTCGAGGCCGAGGAAGCTGCTAAGAGTGGTCCTCAGACTTCTACTTACCAATCTCGTCTCTGAGCTGATGTAGCGTGTCAATGGGCAGTAGAGAGAGGTCGTGTGGAAGCTAATGGTGCTGACTAGGAGTAAGGGTGCATATCTTTGATCAAGGCAACTCCACATTTTGTCTAGGGTGGAGTATTTTGAACATCTACTTCAGGTTCAACAATACATAATGAACGTAATGTTCCGTTGCCCAGAAATGCCATCTCTCCTCAAATCCCCGCATCAGAACAAGTTTGATCACAAGGAACATGCCACCAACTGAGCCCTCGGGCCGGGTATCGGCAGCAGGGACCGTATCCGTGACATTACTGCACCTCATGCATACCGGAACCCTTTTGCGTATGCAAGTCCCCGGCTCCCCGGCGCAGCGTTGGGTGTTGTGATTCGCAAGTCACCCGGAACAACTGCGCCGCCCCGGATGACGGCCACCGCTTGAGGCCGCACACCGGACCAACTGCACTTTTTGTCTGGTAATAATAGGAGGAGGTGCCAACAAAAGCAGGCCTGTTTCTTTCTTGGGCAGCAGAAGTGCATATCTTGGTTTGTTGTTGCACCTGGGTGGTTGACACCTCTGGTTTCAACATTGTTGACGTTCAACAACACAGGAAGATGGCATCGCTAGGCACCTCAGTCCTCAAACCACCTCTCACCTCCTCCACCCCCGCCTCCAGCCGTCCCGGCACCAGCAGCGCAAACCCCTCCGCCCCAGAACTCACCACCACCATCGCGATCCTCCCCTCCAAGCCCGACTTTCCCCCGTTTGATCCCAAACCACCCATGCAAAATGACTTCAACCCCAATCTTGAACCCCCACCCCCGTATTCCATCTTTTCTCCCCGTCAAAAACTCGTGGTTACCCTCCTCGTCTCTTTCGCTGCCATGTTCTCCACGCTCTCCTCGTTCATTTACTACCCCGCTCTTGTCCCTTTGTCGGAATCGTTTGGGGTTTCGCTGGGGTTGATCCAACTGACAATTACCTCCTATCTCATCATCGCCGGCATAGCGCCGGCATTCATGGGCGACATGGCTGATCAGAGTGGACGAAGGCCGGTGTATATGCTCATGTTCAGTCTCATGATATCAGCCAACGTTGGGATCTCGGTTGTGGAAAGGTGGGAGGGGTTGTTGGTTTTGAGGATGGTGCAGAGTGCGGGAGGGAGTGGGCTTTACGGGGGCGGGTACGGGGTTATTGCTGATGTTGCGGTCGCCGAGGAGAGGGGGGGGTTTTACGGGGGCGGGTACGGGGTTATTGCTGATGTTGCGGTCGCCGAGGAGAGGGGGGGGTTGGTGGGGGTTTTGCTGTTGATGACCGATGTTGCTACCAGTCTCGGGCCGGTGGTTGGGGGTGGGTTGACCCAGGGGTTGGGGTGGAGGTGGATTTTCTGGTTTTTGGTTATCCTAACTGGATCGTGGTTCCTTGTGATTTTGATATTCTTGCCGGAGACGCAGAGGGGGGTGGTGGGTGATGGATCGAGGAGGGTGGAAGGGTGGGTTTATCAGAGCTTTTGGAGTGTGTTTTACTTCAAGGAGAGGAAGGGGAAGAAAGGCCCGGAAGCGGTGGTTGTTGGGGAGAAGATGGAGAGGGAGGGGGGAGAGGAGAGGAAGTTTAAGTTTCCGAATCCGCTGGCTTGTTTGCCGGTGCTGGCGGATAGGGGGTCGTTGGTGGTGATTTTGATTACGGCGATCAACTATGCTGTCAAGGCGGCGCTGCAGACGAGTTTGGATGCTCAGGCCACGGAAATTTATGGTTTGAGTTATCTGCAGGCTGGACTGGTGTATTTACCTAGTGGGGTTGGTGGAGGGTTTGGGAGCTTTTTTGCTGGTGAGTTGCTTCTTTACTTGGTCAAGGGAGCGGCGCGGGCTAACGTGATAACAGGAAGATTTGTTGACTGGAATTACAAGAGGACGGTCAAAAGAGGTGGAGATGATTTCGACAAGAACTCTCCCGGCTTTCCTCTCGAAAAGACCAGATTAAAGGGCGTCTACACACTTCATGCCATCACTGTTTTGGGGATCATAGGATATGGTCTAGCGTTGAAGTTCAGGGCAGTAAGTGTCTGTTCGTTTGTTGTCTGCATTCTTCTGAGAACTGACAATTTCCTTATAGCACCTTGCCGTGACGCTTCTTATGCAACTCTTAACCGGCACCTCAACCGCCGCAACCTTTGTGGTATGTTCCCCAAAGTTTTCCCTCCTACCTGGTACTGATCGTAATGTTGTACAGCTGTGTGGGACCCTCCTGACAGATCTCAACATGAACAGATCTGCCACCGCCCAGGCAGCCAGTAATCTGGTCAGATGTCTCAGTGCGGGCGGTGCTGTGGCTGTCTTGCAGCCGATGGTTGAACATGTCGGGCCGGCGGCATGTTTTGGCATCTACGCTGGCATTGTGTTTCTGTGTTTCCCGCTCGCTTGGATCGTGCAGAGGTTTGGAGTCGCGTGGAGGGTGGCTAATTCCGACAAGCAAGAGTAAGTAGAGGAAGCGGTCCCAAAATTACCTAGATAATGATTAGTTCGAGAGACGTTTTGGACAGCGCCATGATGAGAAAGGGGGTGTTGGAATGCCAAGCCCCGCTGAGTCATTCATAGAGGCTAATTTGGGGGGACGGTGTCAAGCAAAAAAGCCTGAACAGGTTTTGTAGTGTAGCGGTTATCACTCCGGATTCTGATTCCGGCAACCCCGGTTCGAGTCCGGGCAAGACCTAATTCTTTTGCAATTTTATACTGCATCAACTTATGATTTCTTTTTTGCGCCTAGTTATCTAATGCGCTGCTATGTTTCGTTTTTTTTTCTTTCACATCGATCGTAGGATCCCTTCCAACGATTGTCACCATCCCAACTGCTCCATATCAAATCTATCTGTCGCCCCCTCGACCTTTTCACCTTTTTCGAAACACGATGTCAAGAGATGGGATGAGCCTTCAGCGAAGGAGGAGGGCCAACTGGGGAGTATTCAAATGGAAGTAGAGGGGTGAGTGCGCCTGGTGAAGTGTTGGTGAAGTCGGCGGATATGGCAATGGGATTAAGGAGGCTGATGGAGAAGGGAAAGGGGAGGAAGAAAGTAGCGGAGAGAGATACCAGCTTAGTGTTCGTTTGCATCGGGTATGGTCACGGTAGACGAGTGACAATGAGTTGATGGCGGCGCGGACGGTACTCGCTTTTATTGTGCTTGAAGCTGGAGCAAGATTAGTGAGATGCATTGAGTTTGTTCTCTAAAATCAATGCCAAAGGCTATTTTTTGACAGCCTTATCTCCACGGCGATGCTAGTCCCTCAGCATGGCCAGGCACGCCCATTCAATCTTGACTCGAAAAATTCAGCCATCCTCTCAAGCCACCGGCATCCATTGGCGCAGCTGTCAGCCCAAGAGTCTTCACTCATCCTGCACAAGCAAATGTCAATTTGGGTGTAGTCAAAAAAAGTTATCATTAAACGCTATGCTGCTCCATGTTATCATGAAACAAAAGAAGATATTAAACTCATCATCCCATTATCATCCTTCTTTCCTCCCATATCCATTGACCCGTAATCATGTTAGCCATGCCGCTTTTTGAAACCAAGTGGTTAAATGAGCTGTTTATAGACCGAAGCCAGCGGCGAGGGCGGCACCCAGAACAACCAGCCCGAACTGAGAGGAGCGCCCGCCAGCAGCAGCGTTGGTTGATGAGGGGCTAGCAGCCCGGGTGGTAGTGGACTCAACGAGGGTCTCAGTGGTGGTGGCGAGGTCGCTTGTTGTCGTTGTGAGGGTGGAAGTTGGTTTGACAGAGATGGTAGAGTTGGTGAAGCCAGTGGCGGTTGTGGTGGTATTGGCGTAGTTGGTCTTGGGTGGCAGGATGGTGGTGTTGGCGTTGATATGGGTAGAGGTGGCGAGTGTGCTGGAGTGAGCGTACTCATGTGTAGATGGGACAGCTGTAGTGTATGTGTATACAGACTCGGTGTCATGAGAGCTGTGGTCATCTTTGGCGGCGGCCAGGCTCAGAAGAGCAGAGAGAATGATGAACTTGATCTGCATTTTGAGTTGTTGGAGTGTGTGAAGGTGCGGTATGTGAGATGACTGTATGTGTGATAGATAGTTGTTATGTGTCCTATAGCGAGTGTCAAGTCGTGGTGATCTCGGTATATCTTGGTAGCGTAATGTTCAGATGAATCGTAAAGGTAGAGTGATGAGTGACAGGAGCTCAAGACGGGCGACTTGCTTTGTCTTTAAGCCAAGCTGACGGACACTGGCCAGTCGGCTGGGAGATGGGATGGCCGGCTCTTGGGCCAGGCCAGAGACAAGACGAGAATGACCCCTGCCATCGCGCAAGCTGTGAATATTGAGATGGCCGACTCGCATGTGCGGATTCCCGCGCAAGTTACGAGAAAAGGAGGCCCAAAACACAGACAGACGCGTGGAGGGCGGATGTCGGTGGGCGATCCAGACGCCTCCCCGGAACTAGCAACACGACGTAGCGGGCTCATTGGACAGGCTGGGCCAGATGGCGTGGCAGGGACGGCTGGGCTGGCCGATGCATGCTGTGTTCATTACGGCTTCAGTGATTGAGGCTGCAGGTATTGAAACCATTTTCGCAGTGGTGGAGGCCGGCAACTTGCTGATGAACCCCTAGTTTGTGTGACCGAACGACCTCGATTCCGAAAATACGGGGGACTCTACAGACGCGATGGCTGGGCGGGCACCCTCTGGAGGTTGGAAGATGATCTGTTTAGCTTCCAAAATGACAAAACCAAAGAGCAAACGGTGATTCAACGGCTCGGCCAAATCGTGGGGGATCTGAGCTGAGACCACGCAATGAATTCCTCTCAGTCAGGCTGTGTCGGCTGTGTCGCTGTCTCGGTGGCCACGCCGAGGTGGAGTAGGAGACCTCAGTAGACCAACAGGCTTAGATACGAAGAGGCAAAAATTCCAACTTGAAAGTAAAAATAATTTTGCAAGAGCAAAGAGTTTCGAGGGGGGGATATGGGCTCAATCCAGAAACAAAAGGAAAGATAACTCGAGGTGATGGTGGTAATTCCAGAGGTGGAGCTGAGAACGGCTGTCTCAGAACCACACGATCTTGGACCCCTGTCATGTGAGAGATCTCCAAGGTTCGGACATTTCTCTTTAAAGGACAACTTGAGCCATCGAGAGCTCGAAGCGATACGGAACTCAAGCACCTCCAAAACTTGGGCTCAAAAAGTCCTTGAATGGTGTGTCACCACTCATGGTCATCTCAGGAAAGCTGAAAGCACGGGCCACATCACGAGCATGGGCCACACACGGGAGCCTGGGGTCAATGAAAGCTTCTTTGGACAACCACCACCGACTGACAACAGCCCGACACCTCCAACCTAATTCAACAAAGATAAGGTAAAAGAGAAGAAGATGTTGATATGGTGTCGATATCTCCATGATCCCCCTTTCCCCTCTCAACAGAAAACAAATGAGGACGTTCCACAAGCTGAGAGGCAACACAATTATGTAACCCACCGGGCTGGGCAGCCGACCCTTGCCGTTCCCGGGATTAGCGAATCAGGAATAGCGCAGCTCGCCTTGGGGCTGGAGCCTCGGTGGAGAAGGTCGTGATTGCAGCCAAACACCTCCGCCCGCACTGCACTCGGCCTGCCGCCCAGGGGACTTTGAGGGAAGAAGGCCATCTTTTGGCAAAAAGACATCAGAAACTCGGACATTTGCATCTGTCGCCGCTTCCCGATGACATACCCAACACTTTCTTGACATCCTTGATAAACCGATCCTCAGCCCAACCCCGCGCGCCCGCTTCATTCCTCCCCAACCACCCCACAAACCAAAACCATCAACTTTGAACGAAACCGATTCCAAATCCCGCGCACGTCCGAACAATAGAAGCCTGGGTTGGGCACCGAACGAGGGGAAAACACACGAGGCGCAAGGCCGAGGAGGAACAAATCTCAACACAATGACTTCGATACGAAGCTCGCAGCGACGCTCGCCCGGCGCAGAGTTGGGCCCTCCGCCAAACCTCCAGCAACGATCTATCTCTCCCGCCGTCGGCGTCGGCACCAACCGCCCCGTTGCGCCCCGGGCATCTACATCATCGAGGCCTATGCAGCCTGTCAGCGGGAGCTTGAATAGGAGCGATGGCACTCGGCGGACCAATGTGAGTCTTGGGTCTTGTTCACTTTTTGCTTCCTTCCCATGTCCCGCCTGTCCGCGTTTCAGCCAATGTCGACACACCACAGCCGGCTTCATGCACCACCACCTTAACGGCTCTCGTTTCAGCAAGACCCCTCCATCTTCTTTTGTTTTGAATGAGTGCTGCCTCTTTCAGTGTGCAATTTTCCAGACTGTATCGTGCGTGCCCAAGTTCCCTGTGCCTTGCTAACCATGCCTCTCAAAAAGTCGTCAGCAAGTACTTCCGTGCCCCTCTCCCAAATCGAAAAGAGCGTAACACACCTGCTGGTTGCCACGAAGCAGCTATTGGAAACTCTGACGCAATGGTCCCGAGGAAACGCCACCGACACGCAGGTGTCCGATGTCTATGTCCGCTTGGGATACGAGTTCAACATGGCCTGCCGGGCCTTTACAGCCATTAATGTCGATACATCTGACCTCGGAAATGTGCCCGAGCTGCTAAGGAATATTTTAGAGTCTACTTTGAGCCAGGAAGCGAGTGTGGAGAGTCTGGATAGATACTTGCCACAGATCCGCGACATCATCATCAACTTGCTGCATGGACTGAAGAGAAAGCAAACAAGATTGCGTCAAAGGCAACAGAGAGAGAGGGAAAATGGACAACCGAGCGATCAGGGAGGCTCGGGGGATGGCCCAACCGCACCCAACCCTCCTGGACGGACGACCAGCACGAGCACCATGGGAAGCGTCAACTCGGGACTAACGACACTACTGAACGAGGGACTGGAGGATGGCGGATACCGGCCACAGAGCCAACGAGATGATGGAAGGAATAATATCAACAACTCCCCTACCAGACGATATTTGTCGCAACGAGAGCAGTCTCGCGGTTCGGCCAACTCGGGGGAGTCCAGCCTTTCCAGCAACACGATGCAGAACATTCCGGTCATGCCCCCTTATCCCGGCGATGAGACGATGCCTTCAGGACCCTCGGCCGGCGATATGAGTAGCTTGGACAACTTCCCACCGCCTCCTCCGCCGCCAAAGCAATCTCAGCAAAGTGCCCTGGCGGCCTTGCAGAGGGGCGGTGATCTCGAGAGACGCGCCTCACGCAGATACTCGGCCTACCAGATCTCCAAGCTGGTGGGCGCTCAGGGGGTCCCTATGCTCCCACCGCAGACCACGCCGATTCCGAATCGCGGCCGAGGAGAGATGAGGGAGTCGATGCGGGCGATATCTACGAGGGATAATGCTCGGCATCAGCGAAACAAGTCTTCGCGTGCGGCACCTATGGATGCATCGTCGCCGATGCGGGTTCCGAGCAGAGTGTTGGAGGAGTCAGAGAGCGGTCCGGCGGAACTCCCGGCATCAAGGCCAGAAACCGCCGAGCCTGAATCTCCAGAGGAAAGGTTCAGGCCGAGCGCTACTTTGACGAGCCCGCCAGCTGATGTGATGCCAGCAGCCGGCCTGGATGAGGAAGAGGAGGAGAAGCCCCCCAAAGCACCCCCCAAGTCTGCCGCGGTTGCTCGTGCTCCTACCCCTGACAAGCCGTCGAGTTCGTTTGGGATGGACAACACGCCTCCCGCTACGAAAGAACTAACATTGTTTCTGCAGTACAAGTCCAAGGTCAAGAAATTTGTTCTCCCAGAAGGATATGAGGAGCTCTCGATTGGCCGTTTGCAGCTGGCATTTATTGAGAAGTTTTCGTGGAACACTCAGCAAAACGGAGCAGACCTGCCGGACATCTATATTCAGGATCCCATTTCGGGCGTGCGTCACGAGCTGGAGGACTTGTCGGACATTAAGGACAGGACGGTGCTCGTGCTCAACATTGAGACCCTTGACGAAGTGAAGAAGCATATCGATGAGGGTATTGGTAGCCTCAAGAAGATTGTCGAAGAGGTCAAGCAGAATGTGGATGATCATGGGGCTGCTCTGCTGAGGGTCGCGGAGCGCCAGAACGAGACCGCCAGGGACGTTGCGCGGTTGGCTGCTGCTCCTCCCCCTGCCATCATGTCGCCAGCTATGGATTCACCCAAGTCGGTCGCAAGTGCTGCTGGGGTGGCCGCTCGCAAGCTCAGCACATCCCAGATCACCGAGATTCAGAGCTTGCGCCGAGACCTGGCTGTTTTGCGACAGACGTACTCGAACTTTCAATCCGATATCCAAAGTTCCATGTCTGCTCTTCGCAGCAAGGCCAACAGCGTCAAGGCAACGGCCGCCAAGATTGCCGTTCCGGACATTGAAGGCGACAGCGGACGGGCATATGTCATTAATGGCCGGAAGCAGCTTAACACGGACAGCGACAGGCTTGTCAACAAGGTGGACGACTTGCAAGACTTGGTGGAGGATCTACGCAAGGACGTTGTCCACCGCGGCGTGCGCCCTCTCCCTAGACAGCTCGAGTCTGTCACCAAGGACATCACCCAGCTCACCAAGGAGCTGAACAAGATGGAGGAGTACATGAAGCAGGAGAAGCCAGTGTGGACCAAGATTTGGGAGAAGGAACTGGAGGATGTCTGCCAGGGCCGGGACGAGCTGCGGGTGATGGAGGACTTGATTGTGGATTTGAGGGACGATTTGGAAAAGGCTTCCGAGACGTTTGCGCTGGTGGAGCAGGCTACCAAGGAACAGATGAAGGATGCGGGGTCGAACGGCGGCGCGGTGGAGGGGAGACCGGTGCTGAGGCAATTTAGCAAGGGGCTGAACTCCATCAACAGCAATGCCTTTGTTGATCCTAGGGATGCGAAGGAGGGTGTGTTGGGGGAGGTGAGGGCGCTGCAGCCGAATCATGAGAACCGGCTGGAGGCGATTGAGCGGGCCGAGAAGCTGAGGCAGAAGGAGCTGGAGACGAGGATGCAGAACCCGCTTAAGAAGGAGCTGACGAACTTTGTCGAGGAGGGGAGGCTGAAGAAGAGTGGGGGGGTGGAGGAGGTGGAGAGGGCGAGGAAGGCAAAGGAGGAGAGGATCAGGAGGGAGGTGTGGGAGAGGCAGAATGGGATCATTCCGGAGGATCCGGTTGGGGAGGAGGCTGCGGAGGGGGAGGTCAATGGGACGGGGCCGGGTGAGGAGGGTGATAGGGATAAGGAGAATGGGGAGGTGAGGGATGAGCAGTTGTAAAGAAAGTTTTTCTTTTCGAGGGCATGATTTTGATGGTTTCGTCACGGTATGTCTGAGAGGCTGGCTGGCTGGAAAGGGAATGGATTGGTGGGGAATATACCCTGTTTTTGTTTGTTTTGTTATTGCCATGTTTTAGTCAGCTGGGGTTTTTGTTGTTGTCTTGCTTCAAGTTTGGTTAGGAATTCTGGAATTGCTAGCACTTGACAGAGTATTGAAGTGAAAGGGGGGCAGTGTTTCCGTGTAGCGCGATACCAGCCAGTTGCATTTATTGCTAGAACAGATGTGCTACTCTACTGTGTGTAAGTCATTTTACTGGTGAAGGGTTCTGTGTAACATGCTGTCAGATTATTTTGGGAAGCATACTACTAGTCGTGATGGTGTGGTCGTGGTTACATTTATTTCCGGGTGGTGAGGGGGGTCGGGATTGATCTACCGAGGCGGTCCCCGCATCTCTTGGGGTTATAAGCCGTGTCACCCACACCTTTATCAGTCACGGTCAACATCATCAACATCAACACCAACACCAACACCAACACCAACACCAACATCAACAAAGATGACACCCAAATTTGAGTCCACCGTTCAAAACGCCATTGAGAATGACGTCCTCCCCGGTGCGGTGATGCTCGTCAGGTCAAAAGATGGTATTCCC